AGTTGTAATGGTCTTCGTCCGATATAGAGGCCTGTTTCTGGCTGCCCTTGTTGCTGGTCGCCGTGCTCCATACAACAAGTGTTTCGCACTGAATCGATAGTCGATAAACACAGGGTATACAACAAGTGCTCCATACACCCTCATGTAAAAAATTTGCAACTTCTTTCCTTTCTGGGCATTTGGGCTATTTGAACCCCACACTCTCAAAAAAATTGAGAACATTCTCACGTGGACCTTGGTACACAATCTCACCTTCTGAAAGTAAGATTATGTCATCAAAAAGTTCAAATGTTTCGGTAGCAGGTTGTAATAGAGAGATTATCATTGTAACATCCATGATATGAACTAGCTGCCTCAAAAACCTAACAATTTGGAAGGTTGTGGAACTATCCAAACCAGTTGAAATCTCATCCATTAAGAAAACTTGAGTAGGTCCTACCAACATCTCACTTGCATCCATGATATGAAAGTCACTGGTTAAGAATCGATAATTGATAAATACAGTATCGCACCAATTTTCCATTCTTAAATTTGCTGGTGTTTCGTTTTCATCTTCCACAAGTTGAGACAGACAGAAAGTGAAAGAGATAGGGAGTTGAGAGAGAAGAAAAAATAGAGGCTGAAAAAAAAAAGGCTTAAAGGTTAATTTTGTAAATTTGCTCCACGTTCACAGTAATATTTTACGATCAACCAAACATAGAATAGGAAAATTGACCCAATATTGTTGGGAAAATTTTACATACCAAAAAGCTTTTTGGTAACATTCCCGGCAAATTCAATTTCCCACCATATTCCTGGAAATCGTAATTCCCAGATAATTTTTTTTTCTCCTCTACCAAACACCCCCTAAGGGCATGTTTGGTACATAGTATAGGATAAGGTCTGATAGTATAAGACCTGATAGTATAAGGCCTGATTGTATAAGATCTGATTGAATTTTAATACTATCCAGCGTTTGGCATGGTATTGTATAAAATAATATATTATATAAGATAAGATCATCTAGTATTTAGTAATGCACTTTATAATACTACATAGGATAAAAATAAATATTTTTTAATAAAGAATTTTTATAAAAATCTATAGATTAGTGTGTCCAAAAAATAAATTAATTTTTATTTAATTTATTTTAAAATTTAATATATTGAAAAATTAATTTTTTTTAATATATTAATATTAAAATAATATATTAATTTTTTAGAATTGCACTGGTCAACGATTTTAATCCACTAACCCCTTATCAGGCCTAATCCCTCCCCCTTAGGCCGGAATAAGTTATACATCATTTTGATGTATTAAGGGATTTTGCTGTATAAGCTTATACTATACGATGGTCACACCAAATAACTGAAAATGTCATAACGTATAGTATAAGCTTATACTATCATGCCTTATACGTCACACCAAACAGGCCCTAAGTGTACATAGTTATCCATGTAAAAAACCATTTGTAACCAAATCTTAAACGATTAATTAAGGTCACATTGATGGTTTTATATTATATTTCTCTAACACGTACCCTCACACAAGAGCACATTGAACTTAAAGGATGGACAATACAAAGACCCATCTACCTATAACTTGAAAAGAAGGATTATATTATTGAATTGTATATTCAACTGTATAAAGGGTTCTCTGTTTAAAGAGACTGAATGACCTATTAGGCTAAGCCCAAAGAAGATTCTAGAATAACCTAGAATAAAATAATAGATAGAATAACACTCCCCGTCAAGTAGAGGAATAAATATTTATCATTCTCAGCTTACTAGTAAATTCTTGAAATCTATTTGAGGGAAGTCTCTTCGTCAAAATATCAGCTAATTGACGCCCAGAGGGAATGTATAGAGTAACGATCAACCTGCTATCAAGTTTCTCTTTGATGAAATGGCGATCCTTCACAACTTATTATCACAAAGCAGCTTCATAGGTCTTTTACATCTTATTTTGAAATCAAGTAAAAATTTTAACCACAATAATTCACAAATGCCTTGAGCCCTACCTCGAAATTCGGCCTCTGTACTTGACCTGGCAACCACATTTTGTTTCTTACTCCTCTATGTCACTAAGTTACCACAAAGAAACATGCAATAACCAGCGGTAGATTGACGGCCAGTCAAGGATCAAGCATAATCGGTATCAATCTAAACTTTTAAAGAGAGATTTTCATCACGCCGGAATAATAGTCCTTTACCAGGAGTAGCTTAAGATACTGAAGAATTCTCTCCACTGCCTGCATGTGTTTTTCTTTTGGATTATGCATGAATTGACTGACAATACTAACAACATAAGCTAGATCTGGTCTAGTATGAGCCAAATACATCAGTCGTCTAACTAGCAGTTAATATTGTCCTTTATCAACTAGAGGGTTTACACCCAAGCTTTCTTGCTTCTTTAAGAAGAACAAGGATATATTTCCTCTAACTAATAAAAATTCCTTCCTTTGAATGAGCTACCTCTATACCTAGAAAATATCTCAATCTCCCAATGTCTTTAATTTCAAATTTAGAGGCTAGTCGTGCTTGTAGAACATCTCTCTCCACAATATCATCACCTGCTGTAATAATGTCATCAATATACACAAGGAGAACAGAGAGCTTCCCATCTTGGGAATGCTTAAAGAAAAGTGTGGTCTCCTTGACACTGTTTGTACCCTAAGATCATCATTACCTTGGTAAATCTCTCAAACCACGCCCAAGGAGACTGTTTCAATCCAAACAAGGCCTTTTTAAACCTACAAACTTTATTTTCTCCATCAATAGAGTTAAAACCAGGCAGGATTTTCATGTAAACCTCTTCTTCTAACTCACCATTAAGAAAAGCATTCTTCACATTAAATTGATTTATATCCCAATTGTAATGGGGCAACAAGGGACAACAAGACTCTCACAATATTCATCTTTGCAACTAGGGCAAAAGTTTATGCATAATCAATACCATAGGTCTGAGTGTAACCCTTGGCGACTAACCAAGCCTTATATCTCTTAAGAGTATCATCAGAATTATATTTTAAGGCATAAACCCATCTACACCCTAGTGCTTTCTTTCCATTAGGTCTATCAACAACCTCCTATGTTTTATTTTTCTCCAAGGCAATCATCTCCTCTTGGGATTGAGATAGAATCTAATGTTGAAACAAAGCTTTTGTGCTGCACAGAAAGGTTAGTAAAAAGATCTTTTTCCTTTTCTTCGCACAATAGGTAAGTCATCAGAGGTAATGGGCAAACTATCAGAAGCAATAAGTCATTAGAGGCAACAATATTAGATTCAGAAACAGGAGATTCAGGACTTACTATTGATTCAGACAATTGAAATTTGTTGGTGAAGCAGCATGGGTTGTTTCCAACTGTGATATACCAAATTAGGTGTCAAAATCTTCCATTTCTCCGGTGTATTTGAAGGATCAAACACAAGAGGGACAAGAAGGAGAGATGTAGGAGTACACAAGGAAGACCCAGGCTCAAAGAAGGAAGGGGACAAGTCTGCTGAAGAACTGCTTTCCCCCTGAAGATGCGGATTTGGGAAAAAGGACTCAGATTCATGAAATGTGACATCCATAGAAACAAAATATTTCCAACTGGGAGAATGATAACACTTGTAGCCTTTCTTTTCAGAGGCATAACCAAGGAAGACACACTTAAGAGTCCTGGGATCCAACTTATTGCGATGTTGTTTATAAACATGGACAAAGACAACACACCCAAAAACTCGTGGCTGAAGACTCTGCATAATGGGAACAGGGAAAGAATAAAGTCATTGAGTAAATATGACTTACATTGTCAGGGACCCGAGAAGGTATGCGATTGATTAAAAAAGCTACAGTGAGAATGACATCTTCCTAGTAGAAATTAGGTACACGGGTCTGAAAAAATAAGGCTCGAGCAACTTCAAGAAGATGACGATTCTTCCTCTCAGCAACCTCATTTTGTTGAGGGGTGTCTACACAAGTAAGTTAATGAATTATACCCTGATCTTGGATGAATTGGGAAAGACACTGATTGACATATTCTATACCATTTTTGGACCTTAGTCTTTTGATTCTTTTACCAAATGGGTCTCAATCATTTTATAAAATTGAAAGAATAAATGTGGTACCTCATACTTCTCATGCATTAAATAAATTCAAGTTACACGAGTACAATCATCAATAAAAGAAACAAACCATTTACTACCAAAAACATTAGGAACTTTAGAAGGATCTCAAACATCAAAATGAATAAGGTCAAAAGGTTCAACACTTTATACTAGCAGGAAAACCCATTGAAACCACGGACCCGCTGAACCCTCCATCCTCAGACCCGCTAATTGCACTTTGAGGTTGTCAGGAACCTGATGCATCCTGAAGTAAGACTCTGTGCGAAAGATCCAATTATTTGGGTCATGACCTAGAAAGATGGGAATCTCCAACTTCATAGATTTCAAAGCTGAACGCTGATCGTGCAAATCAAACGGCACATGTGGACGATTCGGAGATTCATGCGACGTCGTCGGTGGGCTATGGGACATGAAATCCCTCAACCTTGCATCAATCGCTGCGAACCGTGCTTCAATCGACTCAGAAATTTGGTCCAAACGCTGATGGAACTCCAGCCTGTGAGACGCACACTCTTCGGCTAGATCCTGAACTCGCATGTTTGCTTGGATTCGATGATGAAAGCACCAGATGATACAAGTTACAACTTGTATTGGAAAGAAACGGAAGACAAATCGATTTATTAATTCTGATGAAAAATCAATTACAGTATGTATATCCTTTATAACACCCCTTTTCCCACTTCCACCAACTAGATGCCTATTACACATGCCCCCACCCCTTTACATTTACATTCAACACACGTGACTACACTAAAGTGTATAATCAGACATCCACGTGGGCTTCTTAATACTTCTATTGGACTTCCTACTTGTATCAGCCAACATCAACAAGCGAAGTGGACAAATAAAACCAGACAAGGAGAAACAATACAGCAAACACTACACACACACAATATATGTAAGCATACCTAAGGTCCCAACAAGATGTATGTCCAACAGATGATCCAGCAAACACTAGCTGAGAGGAGGTATTTAAACATAAGGTTCGTATGCCTACGAGAAAAACATTAAATCAGATTCACTTTCTACATCAGAATGTATAGGATATTTAAAATATTGGTTAAAACTGAATATAGACCTGCATATCATACAAAATTAATTCTCAACATATAAATAAGATATCTACAATATATTTCATCAAATAGAATCGGTCCAACAAAGAAAATAAGAGCATATAAACTTAACTCTAACTAAAATGTCAACAGAAACACATTAACATACACATGACAATGAAAGTGCTAACCAAGCAACGGTAAAAATTGAAACAAACCCCATCTTGATTGCCATCAGAAGAAGTAGAGTTAAATTTGAAGAAATTATAAAATGTTGAAAAACAATGGAAGAGATCAGATATGAAGATTTTAATAAATTTAACAAAAGAATAAGGGCCAAACAGGCCTAACAGCAGTCAACAATGGCAAACGAAGCCAAACAGCACGAACAAAGCCAGAGCGTGGCAAACAAGAAGAAAAGGGAACCTACAAATGGATAACTCATCAAATAAAGGTAAACAACTAGAGAGCTAAGCCAAACAGATCCGAATAGGGCCAAATGACAACCACAAAAGCAGTCCAACAAATAACAAAACTGTAGTTATTTGTTAGAAATAGTATTGTATTATTATTATTATTATTTTATTTTATTTTTAGATTATATGGGCTTAGACATTAGGTCATTTAACCTTTTTAAATAGAGGGCTCTTATACAGTTTTGGGAGTGGATCCTCTCATGTGAAAAAGTGGTCATATGGTCATGTTATTTGATCACAACCACTCATTGATGATGAGATAAGAGAGAGAAAAGTGTATAATTTTTAAATGAGTGGTTGTGATCAAATAACATGACCACATGACCACTTTTTCACATGAGAGGATCCACTCCCTACAGTTTTACATACAGTTGAATACGATACATTCATACTCTTAAGTTGGTACCAGAGCTTGTGTTCTAGGAAAACCTCATTTCCGTAAAAAAAAAAAAAAAAAGATCGCGATCACTGTTCATCGCGGTACTGTTTACGGTACTGTTCATCGCAATCACTGTTCATCACGGTACTGTTCATCGCCGGAAACATTGTTCCTACGTCCTTGCTCGTTTTTGTCTCCTCTTTTCAGATCTGGTCTCCGTTCGTTGTTCTTACATCTGATTTGTGATGGAAGGCTGAAGTAATGAGATCAACAACACTACCGGTGTCATCTCCAATACTACCCCATCCATTACAACAATACAAGACTTGGTCTACCTCCGTTAAGATTTGGTTTACTGGTCATGGACACGAGAAACATCTCACGATCAAGTCTACTGATATTCCAAAGGATTAGAAATCTGAATCGGAAAAGATTGAAGCCCAACTGCTCAATGTCCTTTGGCAATCCATTGATCCGCAGTTATAGACATTTTTATCCCCGTTGAGACCTGCTATGACGTATGGGAGGAAGCCAAAAACCTCTAACCAATGACATTCAGCAGCTTTGTTCCATTGTTTCTCCAATAATGGAATTGCGCAAATCACCAGATGCTCGAATAGAGGCTTATATTAGTAAGATTCGTTCTTTGATGCAGGAATTCTTAGCTATGTTGCAGATGCCTCTGAGTACAAGAAGCAAGTGGAGCGCTTCTTTACGGTCGTAACCCTTTCCGGCCTTTCAAAGGAGTAAGAAAGTATTTGTGAGAATATTATACCCAGTGATGAGACTCCTAGCCTGTCACAAACTTTCCAGCGCCTTCTGAATCTTAAGGATAAATCAACAGCACCCACATATGTGCCAGCCACCAATTCAACTGCGTTCATTTCTCGTGCCAATGATTCTATTTGGAACAATGGACGCGGTCGCGGACGTGGCCGTGGACAGTGTGACCGAGGACAGAAGCCTCGTTGCAATTACTGCCAAAACATTGGACATTTTGAAGAACGTTGCTATAGGAAGTACCCTCACTTGAAGCCACCAACTGTCAACTTTGCTCAGACTGATGCTAAACCACCTTCTACTGGATCAGTAACTCTTTCGAGTGCAGACTATGAGGCACTTCTCAGGAAGGTTTCTTCCCAGACTCTTACTCAAGACACTGGTAATCTTATTGCTTGTCTTTCTCAATCGTCTCTTGGACCTTGGATAATTGACTCAGGTGCTGCTATTAATCATCTTTGTGGTAATAAGGATATGTTTACTTCACTTACTTATTCTAATAATCTACCTTCTATAACTCTTGCTAATGGCACTAAGGCCCTTGCTTGTGGAATTGGGCAAGTAACCCAAATCCCTTTTTAACTTTGACCTCTGTTTATTATATGTCTAGCATTCCCTTCAATTTAATCTCTATTAGCCAGTTGATTTGTTCTCTTTCATGCACTGTTACCTTCTCTAAACAATCTTTTTCTATGCATGATCCAGGTACTGGGAAGACGATTGGAGCGAACAATGAGTCATGAGGTCTCTACTATCTGACTGTACCTCCTTCTCCAATGGCGTGCTCTCTCATGGAGGCTCCTGAACTAATCCACAGTCGTCTGGGTCATCCAAGTCTTTCCAAACTTCAGCCTATAGTTCCTTTTTTATCCAGTCTTAAGTCTTTAAACTGTCAGTCTTGTCAGCAAGGAAAGCACATTCGCTCCTCTTGGTAATAGAGTCAATAAAAGAGTTGATGCTCCCTTTTCTATGTTCATTATGATATTTGGGGTTCGAGTTGAACTATGTCTATTTTGGATTTTCAGTATTTTGTAACCTTTATTGATGATTTCTCTCGTTGTATTTGGGTTTATTTAATGAAAAATCGTTCTGAATTTTTTTCAATTTATCAAAATTGTGCTAAAATAAATACTCAATTTGGTGCTATTGTTCGAGTCTTCCGTAGTGATAATGCAAAAGAGTATGTGTCTCTTGAATTTTCTAATTTTTTGGAGAAACATAGGACGTTACATCAGACCATCTGTCAGCACACTCCACAACAAAATGGCGTGGTTGAACGTAAAAATAGACATCTTGACAATACCCTTATAATTCATATGAATGTTCCACTCCGTTTTTGGGCAGATGCTATTATCACCTCTTGCTTTCTCAGAAATAGCATGCCTTCTTCCGTGCTAAATAATGAAGTTCCACACATTGTATTATTTCCGAGAGCGCCTTTCTATCCTCTTCCTCCACATGTATTTGGATGTACTTACTTTGTTCATTATCTCTCTCTAGGAAAAGACAAATAAACATCCAAAGCCTTCAAGTGTATTTTCCTTGGATATACTCGATTTCAAAAGGGGTATTGCTGCTACTCTCCTGGCCTCAAGCTTTATATTGTTTCCACTGATTTCACTTTTCTTATTCAACAACCCTTTTCATTCTGTTCCGTCTCAGATGTCACAGGTTGATTAGGTTCTTCCTATTCCTTTTCTTGGCTTGTCTTTACCAGCTGCAGGTGACTCTATCCTAGAGGAGCGACCCCTTGCCTCCATCCCTGAAGACTGCCCTTTTCTCACCTATCAGCGTCGTTAGACTGCGCCTCCTGCAGACTTTGCCCTTGCTGACTCGTCGCCTTCTCTTGTCGACTCTTCCCCTTCGGCTCCTCCATCAGAGATTACTCTCATTGCCCTTCGCAAAGGTATTCGATCCACTCGCAACCCTTATCCACTTTACATTTTCTTTAGTTTTTTTTCACAACATTTTACTTTTGTTTCTAGTCTTTAGTTTGTTTCCATTCCTAAGACCACATGTGAAGCACTATCTCATCCAGGTTGGCACCAGGCGATGATTGATGAAATGACAACACTTCACTCCAATGGCACATGGGATCTTGTTCGTGCTCTTCTCGTGAAGTCGATTGTCGATGGGTATTCACAATCAAAGTTGGTCCTGATAGCACTATTGATCGTCTTAAAGCTCGTTTAGTGGCCAAGGGATACACTCAAATTTTTGGTCTAGACTATGGGGATACTTTTTCTCCTGTTGCCAAGATGGCCTCTGTTTGCCTGTTTCTTGCACTTGCTGCCATTCATCACTGGCCCCTTCTTCAGCTTGATATCAAAAATGTCTTTTTAAATGGTGACTTGCAAGAGGAAGTATATATAGAGCAACCATCAGGTTTTGTTGCTCAAAGGGAGAGTTCTAGAATGATATGTAAGCTTCGTAAATCTTTATATGGCTTGAAGCAGTCTCCTCGGGCCTGGATTAGTCGCTTTAGTTCCACTGTTCAATCATTCGAATTAACCCGAAGAAAAGCCGATCATTCTGTCTTCTATCAGCATAGCTCTTCTGGCCAGTGCATCTATCTCCTAGTCTATGTTGATGCCATCATTATTACTGGCAGCGATCAAGCTGGGAATGATCAGTTAAACAAGTACATATTCAATCAGTTTCAGACCAAAGATCTTGGCAGACTTCGATATTTCTTAGAGATCGAAGTGGCACAGTCTAGGCAAGGCATTTCTATTTGTCAGAGGAAGTATGCACTAGATATCCTAGATGAGACTAGTATGTTGGGATGTAAACCCATTGATACACCAATGGATCTAATGCTAAGCTATTACCCGGACACGGGGAGCCATTGGCAGAATCTGGTCGTTACCGCCGATTAATTGGAAAGTTGAACTATCTTACTGTGACAAGGCCGGACATCTCTTTTGCAGTTAGTGTGGCAATTCAATTCCTTGACTCTCTGTGTGACTCTCATTGGGAATGCAGTCATCAAGATTCTTCGACATATCAAAAGAGCACCTGGAAGAGGTTTATTATACACAAATAAAGGGAATGCAGAGGTATCTAGCTATTTAGATGCTCACTGGGCAGGTTCTCCTTCAGACAGACGATCCACCTCGGGGTATTGTGTTCTCCTTGGAGGAAACTTGATATCTTGGAAGAGTAAGAAACAAACTATGGTCGCAAGGTCAAGTGCAGAGGCAGAATATCGGGCAATGGGAAATGCAACCTGTGAGCTCATCTGGCTAAAACAATTGCTTAAGGAACTACATCTCTGTGAAGAGCAGCCCATGCTGGAACCTCTCTTTTTTAAGCTAGAAGCTACTTATAAGCATAAGTTAGGCCAAACAGATTTTGGAAAAAGCTCTTATAATGAAAAGATCTTTTTTTTATAATGAAGAAAAAAGCTGAAAGCTAAAAGCTCCTAGGAGGAGCTTTTTTTTAAGCTCTTATCTGCTTTTCTTGAATTGTGTGTTTTTTTTTTATAATGAAGAGTTATAAAGATAGAGAGAGAGATAATTTTTTTGAAATATGTGTTTTTAAGCTAAAAATTTTATGTGGAGGTAACCAACTTTTAGCTTTTTTTTAAGCTCTTTTTTTTAGCTTTAGCTTATAAGTAGCTTCTAGCTTAAAAAAGAGATGATCCAAACAAGCTCTAAAGTAAGAAAAACGAAAAACAAGACGAGGATAATGCATGTTATGCAGAAAAGAATGGAGGATATTTATGCCAAATAAAAAGGATAAACTGTTACCTCTGACATCACTTGATCTAAGTGTTGCTACTTGCTGAACAGAGGAAGGATCTGATATTGTGATATTCCCTGAAGTAGAGCCACTCAGTATCAGTTGATCTTCACTCAAACATAAACAAGTTATAGGTGCATAATGCATTCTGCAGATAGCAAGTTGTACCCATCAAGAATGTTAGATGACATCTTGAAGTTATTCCTCAAGCAACACAGATGAATCAACATATAAGAATAGGGGAAGGAACCGTTTACAAACTTTTTTGAATTTTTTTTCAAATTACACTATGTTCTCCACGGGAGAACATAGTGTATGTTCTCCACGGGAGAACATAGTGTAGTTTGCAAAAGTTTGTATTCTCCCAGGAGAATATAGTGTAGTTTGTAAGAGTTTGTAAACAAAAAAGTTTGTAAATATAACCTGCCCCGTAAGAATATTATTGATTTTAAGCCACCAGAATGATACATCCAAAGTCCCCTCTCACCAAAAAAAAAAAAAAAATTCCTTTTTGAGTAATATGCAAATCATGTTCTTTTCACAATAAACTTAACATATGTAGTTGCAGCTGACCATTTTTGGACAGAAATCAAAATAGAAAAAGCTACAAAATACCTTATTATTTGAGAACATCTCCTACTGTACATGTCAAAAACACGTACAGCCCCATCATCACATCCAACCACAGCTTCAGGATCAGAGTAACTGCGAGCACAGAAAAAAGGGGAAAAAATTCATACATGGAGTGTTATAAATCATGTCTTATGTTATAATCTTAACTTCAGAAGAAAATAGTGGATTAAATCCTACTTCAAATTTTAATTTTCCATCCTTCCCCACACAATTCAGCTCTTACAACTTCCTTTTAGAAGATGAAAGCCCACTTAAGATCAAGGCTATTGTTTACTTTACCGTACTCAAAACACTGACTTGCTATAAGCATGCAGGCCTAAAAGATCCATTACTTGATACATGTGTTTTCTTACAATAGTTCAGAAACTATCAGTCAACTTTTTCTACATTGTGATTATCAGGTTGCTTGGTAGTCATTTAGGAAAACTCTGGTACTTATCAAATTCAATATACTTTTCTCCACCTTTACAGAGAGTGAGAAAATATGGAGTTGTGTTTTTTGTCTAAAGAGATGTACATAATAAGCAATAATTCCAGAATCTCCAGCTATAGTCATTAACTACTGTCGAAAATATAGGGATTTCGGAGAGGAACATGTAAAAGAGAAAAGTGATTTAATAATTTAAATTAATTTTGGTGAGAAGGATGTGTTACAAAAGACAAAGTACTAACTTTTATTTCTGCTAATAGACGACTCGTAATTCTAAGTAAATAAGGAAACAAATAATGAAATATGAAAACCACACATAAGATTATCTATGATATTCTAAAATATTATAATACATATAATGATATTGTTAGAAATATTAGATTAGATATGATTTGATTAGATTTGAATAGATTAGTAAATATTCTGGGCTTTTCACTTAAGCCCATTAGGATCTCTATATATTGTAACTCTATGTATTAGATTAATACACAATTGAATACAATTTTATTCATTCTTACATTCAAGTTGGTACCAGAGCTTACGTTCTGGGAAACCTCGCTTCCGCATAAAACCCTTTTCTCGCTGTGCATCATACCGGCAACCTTTTTTTTAGCCTTAACCCTTAATTAGTCACAAAATATTTAGCCTCAACCTTAAAAAGTCAGAACCCAACCTCCTTAGCCTCCGTTTGCCGTCGGAACAGCCGTTTGCCACTGTTCACAGTCACCGGAGAACTTTTCCGCTGACGATTTCAACCGCAAAACCTGCGATCAGACCTTCCTTGCTCTGGCGACCAACCCAGTGGGCTCTCGTGTGAGGGGGCGTGTTGAGAAATATAGTCCCACATTGGTTGTATGGGCAACTAATGTGAGGTTTATAAGGCCTTGGGCACTCCCACCCTTTGAGCTAGCTTTTGGGCTGGTGTATCCCAAGGTTCTTAACAATTTTCATTGGTATTCTAATTTTCATTCAGGTTTTATATTCTGGTTTTATATCCTTTGCTGTTTGTCCGTTCAGAATACTGGTCATCTTGTTTTAATTTTTCTGTGATGGAGAGTTTAAGTAGTTCATCCAAAAATATTACTAGTACTACCCCATCTATTACAACGATGAAACTGACCGGATCTGCTACTTATAAGACCTGGTTTACCTCAGTTAAGTTCTGGTTTACTGCTCAAGGATACGGTCAACATCTCACAACTAAGTCTCCCAAGGATCAGGCATCTGATTGGGAAAAGATTGATGCTCAACTCCTAAGTATCCTTTGGCAGTCCATTGATCCGACACTTATAGACATTTTCATCTCCTTTGAGACCTGCTATGACGTATGGGAGGAAGCTAAAAACCTTTACACTAATGACATTCAGCAGCTTTATTCAATTGTCTCAGATAATGGAATTGCGCAAATCTCCGAAGTCTCGAATGGAAACTTATATTGGTAAGATTCGTTCTTTGATGCAAGAATTCTTAGCTATGTTACCTCATGCTGCAGATGCTCCTGCGTACAAGAAGCAGGTGGAGCGCTTCTTTATGGTTGTAACCCTCTCCGAAGAGTTAAAAAGTGTTCGTGAAAATATTCTAACCAGTGCTGAGACTCCTAGCCTGTCACACACCTTCCAGCGCCTTCTAAATCTCAAGGATAAATCAACAGCTCCCACACATGCGCCAGCTACTGACTCCACTGCATTCTTTTCTCGTTCCAATGATTCCAATTGGAACAGTGGACGCGGTCGCGGACGTGGCCATGGACAGGGTGGCCGCGGAAGAGGCCTCGTTGCAATTATTGCCAGAATCTTGGACATTTTGAAGAACGCTGCTACAGGAAGTACCCTCACTTGAAACCACCGACTGCCAACTTTGCTCAGACTGATGCTACACCACCTTCTACTGGATCAGTAACTCTTTCAAGTGCCGACTATGAGGCACTTCTCAAGAAGGTTTCTTCTCAGCATCCTGCTCCAGACACTGGTAATCATGTTGATTGCCTTTTTCAATCATCTATTAGGCCCTGGATAATAGACTCAGGTGCTACTCATCACCTTTGTGGTAATAAGGATCTTTTCACTTCACTTTCTTATTCTAGTAACTTACCCTCTGTTACTCTTGCTGATGGCACTAAGGCTCCTGCTCGTGGAATTGGGAAAGCCAACCCAACTCCCTTTTTAACCTTGACCCCTGTTTATTAAATACCTGGCATCCCTTTTAATTTAATCTCTGTTAGCCAATTGATTCATTCTCTTTCATGTATTGTTACCTTCTCTAAACAATCTTTTTCTATGCAGGATCCGGGTACGGGGAAGACGATTGGAGCGGGCATTGAGTCACAAGGTCTCTACTATCTGATTGCACCACCTTCTCCAGTAGCGTGTTCTCTTACAGAGTCTCCTGAGCTAATTCATAGTCGTCTGGGTCATCCAAGCCTCTCCAAGCTTCAGCATATGGTCCTTTTTTGTCCAGTCTTAAGTTTTTTAATTGTCAGTCTTGTCAGCAAGGAAAGCACACTCGCTCTTCCTTTGCTAATCGAGTAAATAAAAGAGCTGATGCTCCTTTTTCTATTGTTCATTCTGACATTTGGGATCCGAGTCGAACAATGTCTGTTTTAGGTTTTCAGTATTTTGTCACCTTTATTGATGATTTCTCTCGTTGTACTTGGGTTTATTTAATGAAAAATCGTTCTGAATTATTTTCAATTTATTAAAAATTTTGTGCTGAAATAAACACTCAATTTAGTGCTTCTATTCAAATTTTGCGTAGTGATAATGCAAAAGAATACATGTCTCTTGAATTTTCTAATTTCTTGGAAAACCGTGGGACGTTACACCAGACCACTTGCCCACACACTCCACAACAAAATGGAGTGGCTGAACGTAAAAATAGACATCTGGTTGAAACTGCACGTACCCTACTAATTCATATGAATGTTCCACTCCGTTTCTGGGCAGATGCTATAATCACTTCTTGCTTTCTCATCAATCGTATGCCTTCTTCCATACTCAATAATGAAGTTCCACATAGTGTTTTATTTCCAGGAGCACCTTCCTATCCTTTACCTCCACATGTATTTGGGTGTACCTGCTTTGTTCATGATCTTACTCCAGGAAAAGATAAGTTAACATCCAAAGCTTTCAAGTGTGTTTTCCTTGGATACACTCGTTTTCAAAAGGGGTATCGTTGCTACTCTCCTGATCTCAAGCGTTATCTTGTTTCGGCTTATGTCACTTTCCTTGATCAACAACCTTTTTCATTCTATCCCGTCTCAGTTAGCACAAGTTGATCATGTTCTTCCTGTTCCTTGTCTTGACTTGTCTTTATCAGTTACAGGTGACTATCCCGGAGGAGCTACCCCTTGCCTCCATCCCGAAGGACCGTCCTTTTCTCACCTATCAGCGTCGTCCGCCTGCGCCTCCAGCAAATTTGACTCTTACTGACTCACCGCCTGCTCCGGTCGACTCTTCCCCTCCGGATCCTCCATCAGAGATTACTCCCATTGCCTTTTGTAAAGGTATTCGATCCACTCGCAACCCTCATCCACTTTATAGTTTCTTGAGTTATGATAGACTCTCTTCACCACATTTTACTTTTGTTTCTAGTATTTCGTCTGTTTCTATTCCTAAAACCACAGGTGAAGCACTATCTCATCCGGGTTGGAGTCAGGCAATGATTGATGAAATGCAAGCACTTCACTCCAATGGCACCTGGGATCTTGTTCATGCTCCTCCTGAAAAGTCAGTAGTCGGTTGTCGATTGGTATTCACTGTCAAAGTTGGTCCTGATGGCACTGTTGATCGCCTCAAAGTTCGTTTAGTGGCCAAAGGATACACTCAAATATTTGGTCTTGACTATGGGGATATTTTTCTCCTGTTGCCAAGATGGCATCTGTTCGCCTATTTCTTGCACTTGCTGCCATTCATCAATGGCCTCTTCTACAACTTGATATCAAAAATGCTTTCTTACATGGTGACTTGCAAGACGAAGTATATATGGAGCAACCACCAGGTTTTGTTGCTCAGGGGGAGAATTCTGGAATGGTATGTAAGCTTCGTAAATCCTTATATGGCCTGAAGCAATCCCCTCGGGCTTGGTTTAGTTGCTTTAGTTCTGCTGTTCAATCCTTTGGCTTAACTAGAAGTAAAGCCGATCATTCTGTCTTCTATAGGCATAGCTCTTCTGGTCAGTGTATCTATCTTCTAGTCTATGCTGATGACATCATTATTACTGGCAGCGATCAAGTTGGGATTGATCAGTTAAAGAAATACTTATTCAATCAGTTTCAGACCAAAGATCTTGGCAGACTTCGATATTTCTTAGGGATCGAAGTGGCACAGTCTAGACAGGACATTTCCATTTGTCAGAGGAAGTATGCACTGGATATCCTAGATGAGACTGGTATGTTGGGATGTAAACCTATTGATACACCTATGGATCCTAATGTTAAGCTGTTACCCGGACAGGGGGAGCCATTGGCAAACCCTGGTCGTTATCGCCGGTTAGTTGGAAAGTTGAACTATCTTACTGTGACAAGACCAGACATCTCTTTTGCAGTTAGTGTGGCAAGTCAATTCCTTGACTCTCCTTGTGACTCCCATTGGGATACAGTTATCAAGATTCTTCGATATATCAAAAGAGCACCAGGTAGAGGTTT